AAGGGAAGACCCACGTCCTTGGCCTCGGGCAGAGTTCACGCGATTTGATCGTCGACAACACAACTGTTTCGAGTTTATTGTATGCCGACCAGCTTGCATTTCAGTTGTGATACTTTTCCAGCCGGAAATTTTTGAATGTAAAATGAAAATGAATGGAAATCGCAGCGATTGAATCGCGACGATTAAATCGCGTGAACTCTGTTCGAGGCCTTTGTGGTCTTACGCTCTTGCTGACTTACTAATTTTGCAAGTGCGAAACTCTTAAAAAAATCCATTTTGGTGTACACGCAGTATAGAACACTGAATGCAGATCTCAGTCAAATTCAAAGACATACCAAGATCTTTTCGATGACATTCTTCTATGACGACATAGTCATCGGAAGCTGCCCATAATCACTTTAAGCAAAGCATAAAATATTCTGAGTCCAAGAATCTTGAAAGGTGGGCAGCTGGGTAAAGAGAACAGATAAGGTAACTATCGAAGGTTACATGTGACATGAACAAAACTGAGGCTTATTATTTTCATGTCAATCATCCATTTCCAATTCTGTCTATAATTACAAATGCAACTATGTTCTAGATAAATCATAATAACATCTTATAGTATGACAGCAGTATTCTTTCGAGAGTCGTGATTAATCTTATTGCAAAATTTAGATATCAGAACTCTGCTAAAAACTTCCTTTTTTTGTATACTATCTTATACTATTTTCTGCAAATTTTGACTATGCTTTACATTCCAGCGGGACCATGTACCGTAGTAGCAACCAATTTTTCAAAATGCAAGCCAGATTTCGAAACGAATATTTGTTCGGAAACACACGGTTTTTCAGAAAGTGATAGAGGATGTTGCAAATGTACATATCCCGCAACAAATGGAGCTTGCTGGTAAATCAAATTTTTTGTCGAATGTTTCGCGACCATACAAACGCTAAAGAGTTGCTGGCAGTTATACTACGAATTATCAGGTAGATGCACTTGTCCGAGTTAAAAACAGGACTGCATTAACGCACACTAGGTGTACGAACACCAGGTACCGCAGTTATGGAAAGCGACGGCCACCTTTCCTTTTGAGCTTTTAAAGACTCGGATGGGTTAGTTTTCCTAATTGGAATCTGCGATAACTAGATATTCAGCAAAAAATTAGCAATCAACACATCTTTGTTGTTTTATAAGATTACGATACCAGATTGAGATTGAGCATTTTTACAGAACGAAATAGGAATGCGGGTACTGTTTCCCATCATTTTTCAAAAATGCTCTACAGTCTTTTTCATTTTGATTTTACCAAGCATGAGCGTTCACAAGGAAAACCTCAAGACTTCAATGGAGGATAGTTTTCTAGAGGTCACATTTTAGCTCAAGTCCCGTCGGGAATTTCTAGGAGGAGAGCGACATCAACTATACTCTCACTATTTTGAGAGCTCCCTGAATTTGTTTTCCTTTCTTCAAACCTCGGCATGATTTATGGATATTACTTATGTCAGTTTTTTTCTTTACCGCGACAGGTTTTGATAGTAACAATTTACGTTGGGGTAGGGTAACGAATTCCGCCAGTGTGAACCGTCTCCGAGGTTACTGGTCCTACAACGACATGGTCCTCAAACTAAATAGGAAGAATAAACCGTGTAACAAATGATCTGAATCCGTTCTCACCTTCTGTGATTTCGGTAGCCTATAGCCCTTTAAACATGTACAAAACAGTTGGACTGCTTATTGTTGCCGTACACTGTAGGCAACCTGAAGAGCTTCTATGGTCTCTTTTCTGGAAGTCTTGGTAAATTAATCCAACTTGGACGTTGGGCTGCAATTGCAAGGAGTTAAACGTACGAGTTGGACGAGGATTTGATGGCACAATGCGTATGATGAAAGTTATCTCATTTTCAGGCCTATATGGACGGCGCAGTATCAGAACCAGTACCGTCGAGGTCCGGGTTGTTCACGCCCAATGGGGCATCGCACCTGAGAAAAAAAGCTAGACAAGGGCGAAAAACGTCTGGCACAGCCGCCATGCCCTCTCGCGTCCACTCACCTTACCAGTTCTTGAAAACTCGAAAGATTTGGCAAAGCATTTCTGCTAACTTCAACATCACACACGGAATGTGCCCAAATGCGCTCTCGTCGTTTGATTTAGTAATTCCCTTTGAGATCTTTCGCCGATTTTTTGGGCACCATTATATAGCGCTTGTTTTAGCTTAGATTTACATTATGGGGCGGTTAATTAATCGTTCTTCCTTGTTGCAAGGTTACGGTAACTTTCGGCATAAGAATCATGTGAAATGAGCAGTCTGATAAATTTTTTTCCAAAAAACCTGGAAAACCGTGTGGCCGGGTTTTCATGCATGCTAATTTTACTATACAACTTTTGAAGGATTTCTAAAGTTATTTTTAGTGGTGTAATCACAATTCTGACGAACATTGAAAAAAAAGCACTAGTTGCCTTATACCTAACAAAAGATTACTTATGAAAAAAAATTTAGATAAAGTGTGAACGTTTTCAGAGTCGGCGACTTCAACTCAAATGGCACAAGAGTTTTTGGCTTGTTTTTTGTTTCTTAGGCAAGACATGGCTCTCAATGGCCTAAAATCGTCCTCGACGTTTCTACCGTAATCACAGTAACAGAGAGAGATGAGCGATTGGCTCCATAGTACTGTAAATCTAAGGTGGAGCCAGCTCTACAGAATGGAATCAAAGTTTGCCGAAAATCAAAGCAAAAGAGTTACTGAAGTTACTGACGATCAACCAGGGTGCACATTTTTGGAAGACTCGTATAGTTCGAAATTTTATATAGTCACCAAGTCAGAATTCTCTTTCAAAACCATTGTCTTTGTCAATGTTGAAAATTACTGTAACTGTCGAAATATCTTTTTTCTCCTAATGAAAAAAAAGATGATGTCAAGCGCTGTTATAGTAAATATTTTCCTGTTCTCTAAGATGCTCTCACTGAATGACAGCAATCCACCTTGCCAATTACTGGAACACGAAAGAGTGGGGACAAATAATTTATATTGAGCTTTCGTGATAACGAATAATTTATATGGACCTTGAAGAGTATGTAGTGTATGGCTATTTCTGTATATCTGTATGAACAGGTTTAATTTGAAAGGATCGCAGCATGGTTTTCAGTATGCCATTACAGATAAAATTTACTAGATCTCTGACGCAGTACTAGATGCTGTTAATAACTCATGAAACACTGCTCACAAAATTGTGTACATCAAAATCGGGCCTACGCTACGTATGGAGATTGCGATCTTTGACTAAAGCCCAGTACTTAATTTAATGTTCTGGCCAAACCGTACCTTCAGCAAGTAATCATCGTTTGATTAAGGCTGAAAATGTGGACGGTCTAAAGCTTCAAGCTTACATTGCCGGTCGTCAGTACGCTGCCGACTGAGCTATGGTAAAATTAGTTGAGGTTTTTCAATAAACTCTTAGCCAACAAAAAAGGCCTGTACATTGTTTTATTTGAGGAATGGGAAGCGTTTATCAAAATGTTTCAGCGTTAATATTCAAAGGCTATTTTCACACGATAGTCTCCACATATACATAGCTTGCGTCCCTTTGAACCTTGCAGGTTGACCAAGCGCAGTTCTTCTAAATCCGTCTTATGTTGCTCACGATAGATAAATGCATTAAGGCTCACCCTGAGTTTCTTACAAGCTGCAGCGCATTCCTTTTCAGCAACGAGCCTCAAAAATTTAATTACCCAAGTTTGAGGTATGTCGTTCACCAATATCCGGAATGTGCATGTGAAAGGGCACATCATCATTTGAACCGACAAAGCTGGGTAATTTGACAAATCCCTTACTTGCGGTACCGAAGGGGCTGTATACGTTTGGGATGAGAAGACCGTCAACGAGAGGGAAAGCAATGACATCAAAAGTGTTGCTGGCAGTACCCACAGTGCTTGTGCATGGCATGGTGAAAATGTTTTTGTTGGTATGACAACAACAGATCTGCTGACAGGTGTCGACAAAAAGGTGGTTGGCGAAAGGAGGACATTAGGTCGCCGAATTTGAAAGAGTCCTGCGCCGATTCCCTGCAGGAACGCATGTCCGCGTATGTACAAAGGTGCGTATTTGTCGCAAATGACCGCGGGGACCGCCCTCTTTCGGCGACCTAATGTCCTCCACCCATGGTTGGGCAGTGCACAATGAAAGATCTCGATTCATGCAGACAGTTGTTTATTTCCTCGTTGGAAGTAACAGCAGTGGATGCTAGCGAGAATTACGTGATTCGCCGGAGGGAGCGAATTTACCGTGAAGAAGTTAAACTTGAAGACACATGAGCAGTATGATAGGGTTGATAATACCAGTGGAGAGATTTTTTGTGCGGCAATCGACCCCAATGAACAGGTCTATGCAGTAGCCTGTTGTGATGGCACTGTCAGCATTTACAATTTGCTAGACATTGAGAAGCTTACGCTGCATGAGCATATGTTTTCGGCCTTTGGTGACGTGAATGTTGAATCTCCCCGTCATGTAATGTCATGGTCTAGAGATGGAAGCGAACCTTCGTTCCACCTCAGGGAAGCGTGAAAGTAATCAAGCATGATGGCTGGAAACTGGCAACTAATAGTTTCAAATGTGATGGCACCGCCATGAATGCTTTTTCATCTTCTTGTGCCTCCAAAGATGGTCGTTATTTATGCTCTTCTAATGTCGAATAAGTTGTTAGTGTGGATCATAAGGAGTCGATCTGTGGTGGCTCAGTATGATTACAAGAGGAAGGATAAGAAAACTACCGTATCGTGCGTGTTTTTTCTCCTTTCAACGATAGAGACATCCTTGTCACTGATGTGGATGAGGGCTTCTGCGTGCTGAAGGATGCCATTCCCAATGTTGCTGCACCAATTCGGAAACCATGAAAGCCGATAGCTCAAATGATCAAGAAAATAATTCTGAAAGCGAAGAGGCTGATGATGATGATGAAGTCCGTGTGAACCGTACCAAGAGGGGATTCTTAGACGATGAGGCAAGACAATAACGACACCAGAATGTCTGCCGACATCGGCGAAATCAAGAAAAAATATGGATTTGGAGATGACACCACTGGAAAGCTTAAGGATTTTGGATTTATTGTCTCCGATGAAGGACCGCGCCCATCTGCTGAAGACATCATCCCAAGCAGCTCTTACTCTTATGCTGCTCCACCACCTCCGTAAGTGATTGCTTATAAATCTCCAACAATCCCATCGTTCTTTGTTTCTGGTGCCTCACCTAACCATTTGACTCAAAGATATTTGAAATGGAATTCATACGGAATTGTACGTACACATTCAGGCGAAGATGGAAGTAGCATAGAGAATTCGTTCCATGATGTTTCCATACATCCAACGATTGTATTGGACAATGGCGTGACAGAGTATGTGCTGGCCGCTATCTCTGATCAAACCGTCGCTTTAGCAAGTAAAGCAGAAGAAAAGGGAGATTAAAGTGAACTGCTGGTGATACATGTTTCATCGTGGGATAGCGAATCCTGGCGTTGGACTGCGAGACTACCGACAAAGGAGAGTGCTTTGGATGTGGTGTCACAAGAGCAGGTATTTATACTCACAGAAAAGCTTTATATACGAAACGTCATATTATCTCTCATCCAAGTCCCATTCTAACAACTGCATGCTATGGAAGTACTATTGCTGCTTGTTCCATATTGGGAGGTGATTACTATAAGAAGGGAAAACATTACAAAAAGCCAAATTTTCAGCATCCCGCTACCGTATACAATGTAGACAGCAGGCAGTGGTACCGTAAGAAAAGCGCTGTAAACTCTGTAGACGTGCCCGTGGCTAGGAGAGAACATCTGGCATGTCTGGCTTTTACGAATTATGGTCAGCTTGTCTCTATGGACAGTTCATATACCATACGTCTATTGTCATCCGCAGATTTTGGCTTCCCATTTTCGATGGTAGCCATGAGGTTGTGGGTAAATCAGATGCTATTTGGCCCATAGCTGTGACGCAGGGGCGCTAAAGACAGATCAGATATTTGTATTGCAAAGGAAGCAAGTATCCACTGATTGCTGTCAAGATGGCTCCACTCTCACAACTTGAACATTACCGTAATGTGCTCCAGAGTCAGACAAATCAAAGTTGGAGCAAGACCTCTTCTTGAACGAGCTGCAACAAAGCGAAACCAGTAGCAGATCTACTTCTGAGCTCATGGAACTGGCCTCCGGTCATCTTCAGTGCCTTGTCAAACTCTTTGCATTAACATACAAAAGCGAAAGAGATGGCAGGGCAGCAGAACTTGCTGGAATGGTGACACCTGCCAAAGGCACTCAAAGCTGCGAAGCTAAAAAAATCCACATTGGTTGATAAAGTTGCTGCAAAAGGAAGGGAGAATTTAGCCTCCCTGACCTCTATGAGACCTCTACACCTTCTTCTTCCTTACGTCATGATACCGACGAAGGTCCAGCTCCAAGACGAATGTCAATCAAAGGAAGAGCCACAGCTTCTACAGTAATACAGCAAGCGCTTTTTATGGAAGACGACGATGTTACATCGACTGTTTCGACAACAGCTGAAGAAGAGGTGCCTGAGACACAACCTCCACAATCTTTGAGCCAAGCTGATAGTTTGCTGAACGATAGCACCATTGTTCCGCTTCCAAAAATGACTCGGAGTCCTTTCAGAAAATCTCCCAAAACATCTCTCAACACCTCATCAGTTTTTGACAATGACAGCTCCTCTACTGGTATGGGTAAAAAGCGCGTTGCGGAGGAAGAGACACTCAAGCCAACGACAACGAAACAGATGAAGCTGTCATTTGGATCAGCTTCGGCGAAGGGGAAAGAGAACGGAAGATCGGCTTACTCATTGTGGTTGGCAAGTCAAGAAGAAACATTACGCAGTATATTTAATGGATTTAAGTCCGGATTTTATGAAATTTTCAACAGTTTCAGTTTCTTCCATCGGCAGAAAAGAAGGAGTGGAAGAGTCGTGCAGAGTCAAGCAATTGATAGCTGTCACATCCTGACGTCATAGACATTTTCTACTAATTATTCTACTGTACTTGACAGATTTTTGCGTCACTTCCATTGCCATTCCAATCCCGAGTCTCACACACTGCCATTGTTTCCACACCTCTTATGCGCCTCAACCGCGAAGTCAGTCTATTCCATTTAGGAATCTGAATGAGGACGTCGGCTAGCTTTCTATAATCCCAATTATTTTGACCATCGACGCGTTTTAATAAGTGTCGGCTGGAACGACCATTTACCCCACTGGGCTACTGTGTGACCCCCCCCCCCCCCCACGTGGTCTCTCATATGCCAGATTAACCAACAACCTCAATTCGACGCTGTGTCAGCAAAACGGAAACTTTTGATATTTTTCATCCTGGACCAATGCTGATATATTCTACTTTTGTCTTGTACTTCTCATCGCTGTTTGCTAATCTTTATGAAGGTTTTTTTTTCATTTTTTTCCCTTTGAAATTGTCTAATTGTGTATATGAACACTTCGGACTGTCCTCTCTCTGCTTTTTCGACAACCAGATACCGTTTCAAAAATTTTTGTGGCCTTTGAGTTTTTTCATACACACCCTGTGTGAAAAAAAAAACATATTTTGGCACACACCCAATTTTCCTATCTTTTTTCGTGCCTCCACAGCTGCCCAAAACCAGTAACAGCAGCAGCGTTCACACGAAACAGCACATCCCTTCTTTTGGATCTACTGAACAATTCCATTATAGTATATACCATCATACTTCGAGACAGACTAGAATAAAAGAGCTAGTGAGAAGGTTTGGGTTTGAGCTGGCTCGATATAGTAGCCGATGAAAAAAGCAAAGGAATCGTCAGTGTAGGATTATCTCCTAAAGAGGATTCCACAAATGTATGAGCGCAGTTCTGCACTAGCTCAAAATAAAAATGCATAAGATTTAAAAGAAATGTTGCAAAAAAAACAAAGTCCCCCTTGACTTTTCCAAAATTTTACGAAGTCCCTTTGACCCTAAACCATAATCCTAAAAAAATATTTAAAAAAACGAAACGTCGACCAAAAAAATCGTCGCATATCTGAATCTTTTCGGCCATAAAAACGAACTCGCCTTTGCTTTTTGTCCCAAAAACGATACCCATCTTGCTCACCAACTCACCTATGCCGAGCCCTGCACATGACTTTTTCTAGTCTTTTTTAGATATAGGAAGAAATATCAAAGCTGTCGCTTAATTTTTGGATAACTTTAGAAATCAAATACAGGATCAGCAAAGCCTTCGCCTCGGATAACAATATAACAACACGAAGACGAGACAAATTTTGAGTGCATTAGCTTACAGTAAAAGTAAAAAAGTGATTCTGCTAGAAGCACCCTATTCAACATCACTAAGAGTTCGGACCCATCACCAAGTCATTATGTCAAGAACCTCTTTGAAATTATAGTTTTTGCCGTCTTTGAATCTCAAAGTGACAAAAAAGTTTTCTAACATTCTCTCGCTAAGAAAAAGATAATGTCAAACGCAGTTATATAGATACTTTCCGCCCGCTAACAGTAAGGTACCACATGGTGTTAGATGCCTTTAACTGACTAACACTCGAATGATATAGATGTTTCGTCATTTCGCAACATCATATAGTTGATATATCATCAAATATTCAAAGAAATGGCAATCATGAAGGTGTTTCCAAATCAGTGGTGCTTTATATCCGAATCAAACATTGTAAATAATCTTTCGAAGTTAAAATATTTTCGCTCAGTCGTTGTCATAATCGACTTCTTATTGTAAGAGTAATCGGCATGAGGGCTTGACAGTCAGAAAGAGGAGGAAAAGATGCGTCGGGTAGTGCTTAGAGCGTTTCCCTATCTTTGTTCCACGTATTCTTATGATAGGTTGAAAAAACGGACAAAACTTTCGGGACACCTAATATATTACGAAAGATTGTAAATAAAGTGGCATATGCCCTGTTGACAATCAAATCAATATGCTTAGAAAATTTCAAATCACAATCGATAATAACTCCCAAATCTTTCACATCTTGACAAGCAGTCATCTCAACTCCATCAATTTTATACGAAATTGAGGAATGCTTGCTAAGACGGAGGAAGGAACATTTTCTTGGGTTGAGAGAGAGTCCATTCTAAGATGCCCAAGCACACATTCAAAAATCGATGACTGCAAAGCATCATGAACTGTGTCAAGGTTGTCTTCATCATAAGATGCATATATCTTTGTATCGTACGCATAGATTTGTACTGTATATTCAATGTTTTTAAAGTATCAAATAGGTCCAAAGTGTATACCAAAAATAACAAAGGAGATAGGACAGCCTTCTGAGGAACTCCACTAGGACAGGGAATTTTTCTGGAATAGTCATGAACAATCTTTACCGTCATGCATTATTGCTTAAGTAAGACTCAAACCAAGTTAGTAGGTTTCCCGAAATTCCGATATCTTCTAGTTTGCAAAGAACGGTGAGGTATTCTATCAAAAGCCTTGGAAAGATCGAAGTACATAATATCCACAGATATTCTCAAGCTCAAGGCTAACTTCCAATCAAAAACGGCCTCAGTAAGTCTAGTTGCAGTTGACTTGCCCACAAAGCCATGGTGCTCGGGCGAAACAAGATGGAACTTCTCTAACCAAAGCAGTAATTTACTTCTAATAAATCTTTCCCCCCCCCCACAATGGTCGGTCGCCTCATCGTGGCGTGGGGGTGACACTGGGTGTCGAACTGCGATGCACAGCCGAGTGTATACTCTGGTAGGGCCTCCCAAGCTGTGAAGGAGTCCGACGTTTCCGGTTTCGGCCGGATGCCTAGCTAAGAACTGGCCACGCCAGATCCTCCGCCGTCTGGCTTCTTCTGGTCGCTAGGCGGTCCCTCCCCGCTCCAAGCCCGGGGTCAGCGATCGCCCCGTGGAAATCAAGAGTAGGCCTAGTAAGCCACCTCTTGTAGGGGAACAAATTATATTACTCAGACAGCAAGAAGATTTAGAAAAAACCCTGTACATCGGATCCCGCCTACGGCGCCGGGTGGTAGCAAGAACGATGTCAGGGTACTCAGGGCGCCTTTCGGATTGGACAAAAACGACACGTCTGCCCGGACGACACGCCATGGAGACTGCCTCATGCTCTGCACCTACAACGCCAAGACAGTCTCCACAAACGCCGACCTCCACGCTCTTCTCGACGCTGCAGAGCACATCAACTACCACATCATCGCTCTGCAGGAAACGAAGTCCAGGAAGAAGGACGTGCGACAGATGAGTGATGGGACCCTCATCATTCGTGGTGAAAAGGTACCATCACGAAACGTGGGAGGCGTCGGCTTTGTCGTCCACCCATCTATCGTCCATCTTGTCGATTCGCACGAGATCCTATCACCTCGACTAGGCATCCTACGACTACGCCCTCCACGTCAGAAGACCATCAGCATCATCAACTGCTACTCGCCAACATCAGCAGCTGACGACTCAGAACTAGATGCTTTCTACGGAGACGTGGAGGAGGTCGTCCGCAACGAAAAGTCCTTCTACAAGTATGTTGTGGGCGACTTCAATGCGAAAATCGCGATGCCACTAGAAAAGGAACATAGGATCGGGAAGTTTGGATATGGGCTCCGAAACGAAAACGGCAACCGTCTCGTTGGGCTCCTCTCCGCCGCACGACTCTTCCATGGAAACTCCATCTTCATGAAGAAAGAACATCGCCGGTGGACATGGGAACGCCCAACGGAACGACTCACACGGAGATCGACCACATTCTTACCAACCGAAGGTGGAGCTTACTCGATCTCTCTGTAGTTTCATCCTTCTGTAGTGGCTCCGATCACCGCCTCCTTCGAGCGAAGATACGACTCAGCCGAAGGCTAGAAAAGAAAGTCTGTCATAGTGCTTCGAGAAGGAAGGAAGTCGTTTATGACGGTAACAGGCTGGAAGAGCTCATATCAAGTTGTGACTGGCCCATCGAGGAGGACCCAACGCACGACTACGACCGGCTTCTGAAAGGATTGCAAGCCTGCGGAGAATGCGCCTCAGTGACTTCTGAGAAGAACTTGGACCGCATCTCGAAGACCACCAGGGAATTGCTCGAAAGAAGAAGATCATTGAGGCAAGATCCGAATGCAACTCATCTCGAGCGACTGATAGCCAACGCCAGTTGCAGAACAGCTTTGCAAGAGGATCTCAGGAAGTACAGGCAAGCCAAGAAACTGGAAGCAGCCGAAAGAAGACGAAGTCTCAAGAAGTGCCGAAGGGACCTCTGCGAATATCACGTAACGCTGGCTGCACTACTGAACGAAGACGGGACTCCGACTTCTTCCCGATACAAGATGGAATCTATCGCGAAGAACTTCTACACCAACCTCTTCCGCTCATCAACACCCGTGCAGATGCCCGTTGTTCCCACTGGAAAAGTACCACCACGAATTCTACCTGCTGAAGTGCGTATCGCGATACAGACCATGAAGACGTCCACGGCTCCAGGACCAGATCATCTTTCCGTTGAACTTCTGCGAGCCGGAGGACACCGTCTACACGAGATTCTAGCGTCGCATTTGACATCTTACCTTCAGAAGGAGAAGATTACCGACCAGTGGAGAACGTCAAGAACCGTCCTTCTCTTCAAGAAGGGTGAACGGGAGGATCTTCGGAACTATCGTCCAATATGCTTGCTGAGTGTGCTGTACAAGCTTTTCACGAAGATTATCCTCGCTCGCATATCTAGGACACTGGATGAAGCCCAACCCCAAAAACAAACTGGATTTCGCAAAGGATTCAGCTGCAGGGACCACATCCAGACGGTTTCGAAAGTTATAGAAGTCTGCCGAAAATACCGATTGCCTCTCGTCCTAACTTTTGTCGACTACGAGAAAGCCTTTGACAGCGTCGAAACCAACGCCACCCTGTCTGCGCTAGTCGATCAAGGAGTGGACCCAGCTTAGGTGAGGACACTAGCCGACTGCTACAAGGACTGTACAACAACGATGCAGCTATTCCATCACCCCCTGACAATTCCAATTGGGAAGGGGGTTCGACAAGGCGACA